GGGGGCGCCATTTTGTCGCGCCCCAGCAGCGCTGTTCTGGCAGCGGCTGCGGGGGAAAAGACGGCGCCTCGGGCAGGGAAGCGGGTTCTGCAGCCCGTCCCTGCCCTTCGAGGGAGAGCGAGGCGGCAGTGCGCGTGCAGGTGTCGCTGCTTCCGAGCCGGTCTGCCTGTAGTGGCTAAAGGGCAGCAGACTGCCTGGGTCTGTAGCCTCTCTGTCCCCGAGTGCGCATCCCTACAGCTTTCCTTGGTCGTCTCTACTGCTTATTAAATTCCTTAATGAGATGACCTAGCCTACTCAAGCAGAAAAAAAAAATGAGACGTTAAAGCAGTGACTTAGAAGGCTTGAACTCTCACCATCCTGCCAGAGGATGATACAGACTCTGAGGGATGTCTATATGGTGGATAGGAGCCAGGCTGCTCTTGTAGTCTCAATGGACTATTGGTTCATCCAGCTAAATCTGCCTAATTACACCCTGTAATTTTGCACCTGAAGCTAGGTTTCTTCAGCTTATGACCCAGCATAGCTGTGCTAGTCATTTAGAATAAAGAATGAAAAGATGGGGTTCTCAGTAAGGACTTAGGACAATAGATTGCTTCTGTGGTTTTCCTTTTGCTTCAGCTGTGATAAGTGGATGGTGAAGTTGACTTTATTTACAAAATTGAGATCCACTGATAAAATGTCTTACTTAAGGTGCCTGTTGTCCTATTATTACAGTTGTCTTGTGCTATGGCCCTGTTTTTTATTCAGACCTCCCTTTGAGGCTCTATTGATGATAGGGAAAATGGTGCTTACAGCAAGACTGGCCCAGTAAGGTCTGCTTGTGTCTGGAGATGTAAGAGCCATTGCCTTTTATGTTTGTGAGCATGTTGTCTACCTGTTTAAAATTATCTGGCAGTTTGATGGTTCAAACAGGAGGAAAAAAAAAAGAGGAGGGGCAGAAGATTCTCCTTTGCTAGATAATGCAGCAGGCTGTGCTGGTCTTCATGTGATATTTTTTGTCCTTTCTTATGACATCTTCTGTATAAAAAAGTTATAACGCAGGGTATGAATATATATGAATATATAGCTTTTCCTGTGTATGCATGAGAAAAATAATACCTAACATAGATGCAACGTAAAGCATTAAATATTTTTTCTGAGTACCTGCTTTTATTTTCGAGTATGTCTCCAAAAGCAGTAATGCTATCTATACAGAAACATGTTCATTGTGTAAAAGAACACTTTGAAAAATTCTTCCCCTTCTCATTCCTTGATACTTAAAATTCCCAAAGCAAATAAGTATCTGTATTGATACGTAAAGCAAGGAAACTGGATGTTTTACAGATAGAACTATATTTCTTGCAGACTCTGGATGATAGTTGCCATTAATGAATGCTTTTCCAGGCGTCCTTTTTAGGACACCTGTAGAAGCTGCATTTGGAACTTGTTTCTGTACATGTTGGCACTAAGTTGGTTGCTATTTGTTTTGTATAAAGTGCAAGGGTAAGCTGCTATAGACTTGTGTGGGTTTGCATTATTTTTATATAGAACAGCTTTGTTTTTTTTTTCTGGATTTACTCATTGCCTCACCTATCCTGCTTTCCAGCTTAATTGTCCTTCCTTTTTCTGCTTTCAGTCTCGTACATATTTCATGTGTGACTTTTATTGCATTTGAGGAAAACTGAGGGAGTAGTAGTTCTGCTTTCGTGAGCCAAAACCTTTACTTTACTTGTGCTTTCTTCTCCTTTTTATTGTTTAACAAAACAGAGCTTGCAGTTGCAAGGCTGGCAAGTTAGCAAAAATGTCTCTGGATTATGTCTTTGGATTACAGCTTTCATTTCTGGATTGAGATTTGCAACAGTAATTGCAAAGAGAAGGAATAACGATTAAAAAAAAAGTCAAACTCGTAGCATTTACTTATTTGTGGGCAATATTTCCATGTAAATTAATCACAATGATCTTTCAGGTATGAGTATTTTACTACTAAATGTAAAATCCTACACAAACTATAGGATAGATTTGTAGCTGGTATATGCTTGTAAGCCAGTGTCACTTGTAAACTTGAATGAGAACTTGCCTTCTGGAAAAGAAGTCCCAAGGCTGAGTGACTCAGAATGCATGAAGCACCTTAGATGCGTTTTAAAATTATAGCTTGATTATGCATAATCTCTAGCCAATATAATTATTTAATATGTTGTTCAACCAATAAATGCATTCCATAATATTCTTTACCTTAGTCAATGCAACTACCTATAGCCCACAGTTAAATAGTATGCTGTTCTGCTGATCAGTAATATAAACTAATATTTTGCTGAAGAGCTTGAATGTAGGTTAACTTGTGCTTCATTGGGGAGTTTTAACTGGCTTATCTTTTAAAAGTGTAATTGTCGACCTTTCACTGGCTTGAGTCAGCTCACAGCAGGTAGAGAAACTGATATCTGTCTTAAGAAGCGTGATTTACACAATAATTTGAAGACAATTTCCATTTTTATCTCATCCTGTTTTAGAGGTGGCCTTCCTCTCTGATGGCTGTACTTGCCATTTCCGTGTATGTTGCAGGGTATGTCAGTGAGCTGAGAGGCTTTCATATGGTGATTGTTACGTTAATTACTCCATTTTTTGTGTTAACTTGTGAAAAGCTGTCCCCTTTTTGCCAGGCGGTATTTCTGGGTTGCTTGGTAAAATCAAGTGCTTGGCAATTTTCAAGGAGGGCTGACTTGCTACGGTGATTTGAAATGTCAACAACAGTAAAATGAATTAATGCATTAAAAAGTTACAGTATTTTTTCAAGGTAAACCTTTAAATTCAAGTTACTTCTCTCTAGTTAGTACCTACTTACTTCCTAAGGACCTGGTTCATAAGTTTCTTAGCAGGACTTGGTTTTCCACTAAAATCTGTGACCTTTGGTGGGCCAGTCCTAACTAAAGAAAGGAAAAATGCCTATTTAAATATATCACTTAACAGTTGCCAAAGACTTGCAAGAAGGGTGGTAAGTAATGGCCTCCAGAATGCAATACTCTGCATTCCAATTTTTAACAGACAATAAATGTAATAAGAATGTTTTGGACCACATTCAAAGGCAAGATCGGAAGTTTTAAAATGCCTGTTCTTTGGCAAGAATTTGGCAGTTGACAGTGATGGTGGCTCCCATTTTTGACACAAAAGTAATTTCTTAGAGCAAACCTCACTAACCCTCCTGTGAATACTAAATGCCTGCTTAAATATACCTTGACATTGTGTTTATTTA